ACACAGCCTTGTTTGTTAGTGCCATTCATTAAAAGTCAGTTTTTCCACCAAACGTTTCGACTCCACTTCTGTCGGCACGTCTTTGACTTTCACATGACAAAATTAACACAGTTTTTCCAGAACGCCTCCCAGGGTTTTTTAAAATAAGAACACTATTCATGAGTTCAACTGTGAGTGCTGCAGAGTCTCCAGCTATGACTGAGGTCTGTTCTAATTCTGCCGCCTCCTTCATCTCCGTTTGACCCACGTAAGTGGCACCGGGGGGGAGAGAGGAGGGGGGGCGCTGTACAAGGAAGTAAAGGATAGTAATTAGGGACGATATCCAACACGCTAACAATGGCCAGTTGCTGTAAAACTCCCTAAACTTTAGTGCAAGTGAACTTTCTCCTCCCCTGCGTCGTGTGTTAATGCGACAACAGCGACGAGAGCAGGTTTAAATCATTCATGTTGTTCAGCATAAAGTGATACATGACTGTCACGTAAATCATTTATGCACACGTGCGTGTGTGTGTGAGAATGTGTGTGTGCTGACCTTCAAGGGGCCTAAAGTATGCAGTTACCTGAGACGACCACAAGGAAAATAAAGTTGTCCTTCACTTTGATTAATAAACGCAGTACCTGTAAACTCCTACAGGGGGCAAGGACGACTGTGTCACTGTGTTCAGGAGGAGTGTATATGGGTAAAAATCTGGCGATTACGATATGTATCGCGATACAGGGGCAACGATACGATATATTGCTATATACTGCGATACTATAAGTACAACGATATATTGATTTTTTTTTTTTACCCCCAATGTAACCGTAGTCCCAGTGTGATCCTAGTCTGAGACTCTGTTCCATCTGAACATCAGGTCCTAACACTGGAACAGAGGGATCTACATTTGGAATCACTAGAGAAGAAAGAAAAGAAAAAGAAAATGAACCAACACCAGGAATATTGAACTGGGAATTGGTGAGAAAAAAAAAAAAATTTTTTCCAAATTCTAATGTTTTAAATAAGGTTCAGTGAAGTGTCGACTGCAGCTGAAGCTGTGTATGTGTTTACGTGTGAGTGTGTGGGGGGGGGGATCAGGAGTGGGTGAGTGGGTGAGGTTCTATCTACAAAGGAGCGTGCTGAAGAAAAACTTTGGGAACCACCAAGCTCTACGTACTTTGGAAAATCCTGCTGATGGTTTAACCCCCTCCCCTTCCTCCCCTCCCTCCCCCCTGCCTCAGAAAACCAGGCCATAAAAACTATGCCCACCGTCTGACCCACTTTCTGGTCCGGTAATCTTTCCCTCCCAAACTCCATCACTCCCAGCAGAGGAAAAGCCTGACTGGGAGCAGAACTCCAAATCTCCTCAGACACAGCGGGGAGGGAGGGGGAAAACTGTGTCAACAGCCACACCAAAGCTGCAGGAAGATAAACACAAACACCGTTCAGAACAGCAATACTCTGCACACACCATTAGGGGTTCAAAGTGTGTGCAAACATAAACGGTGTTTGGAATTCACCGGCTCGAATCTCACACACAAACACACACACAATCAGCGAGGAGTTGTTAAACACCATCTGCTTGAACGATTGTCACAACTTTCATCTACAGGCGTTCAGTAAACGCACCATAAAAAAAATCACATCAACATCGTGCACAGAGTTCAGTCACACCCCGGTCTAAAGAGCACAGAGTCGACTGTTAGCATCGTCTCAACCACTGCACACTGCAGACCCACCTTTGTTTGTCGTAAGCAGATGTTTTTTTTTATGCTACGATGCTAACGCTAACATGTATTTAGAGTCTGTAGCGATCACAGACACACCATGTAAACAGACATTGGACATTCTCAAAGGTTGGTCTGTAACGCTGAAATTACATCAACATTAACCAGCTTTAACCATCAGGCTAACACATTTCTAAAGGTTAAGTACGAATATAATTCAAAGAGTCAATTTAGCAAAAAGAAACACCACCAAAAAATAGCAAAATAAAACCTAATACAAATTCCAAGAAATTAATCAAATTAATCTGCACACAGAATTATCATAAATGTAGTTTGAGAAGAAAGTTATTGTCCAGATAAAAACTATGTGAGTGCAAAGAATGGTCCCCGAGCCAGACTTTGGATGTGGACAAATGTATTATATATTATATTTA